CGGCCCGCAGGGAGGTGGGCAGAGAGCACCGGCGGTCAGCCCTGCCCCTCGGAGACAGCGGTTTGCCTCCCTGCATCGTTCTTCTAGGGAACAGGGTGTTTCGGAGCGCTGGTGGGATTTCATTTTAATTAAAACAGACAACTTCTCTCCCACACGGCAACAAGCGTGTATTTATCTGCCCCGAGATGTGTTTGGTCACTTCTCTACCTCCCTGTACTGAAGTTCCTCCCTTTCCCCGAGCTCCTGCCCTCCAAAAATATTGCTCTGGGCCATTGCTAAACCCCCTGGTCTGAGCCTCCTGCCCAGGCTGCCCCAAAGCCCCAGTACAGAACTGGTGCCCCAAAGCCCCAGCACAGGTTCACTGCCCCAAAGCCCCAGTACAGAACTGGTGCCCCAAAGCCCCAGCACAGGATCACTGCCCCAAAGACCCAGTACAAGCTCGCTGCTCCTTCGCCCATCTCTCCCCTTACCTGGGCACTCACGTATCTCGCGAACCACTCCCTGCCCTTCCCGTTCTCACAGCTGCAGAGCTCACCAAACCTGGCCTTCTCTTCTTGGTCCAAATCCTCTCTGAAATGGGGAAAAATTAAAAAAAAAAAAAAAGGCTTTAAAGTTGAGGATGTGGCTGGCATCCCGCGCCCAGCCAGCATGGCTCAAAAGGGGGAAAAATAAAAAAAAAAAAAAAAGGCTTTAAAGTTGAGGATGTGGCTGGCATCCCGCGCCCAGCCAGCATGGCTCAGCTCCCCCCCGTCATCCCTCTCGGGTCTCCCTGTGCTGCCGTGCTGTGCTGGGAGGAAGGCAGAGGAAGAGTGGAAGGGGAGCATCCATTTTGCCATCCCTTGGCTCATGCTGCTCTTTTGTTCCTCCCTGGCAGGGGGGGGAACTGAAGGCAGAGGAGAAGGGAAGAGCCAAGGACAGCCCGAGCAGAAGCTGAGCTCCAGAGACGGGCACTCTGCCCCAGAGCAAAACCAGCCCCTGTCGCTGCTCGTCACGTTGGGTTTGCTCAATCCTGCTTGACACGCCGAGCGTTACGGAGACCGTGGCGATGGGAGTTGGGGGGATGCAGGGCTGGGGGGGCACAGCCAGGGGCTGCTGCAGGGCCCCGGGGCCCGGGTGAGCCGCGGGCAATCGCAGAACCATCGTCAGAGATGCCCAGTGGGGGAGAGGAGCTGGAGACCCCCGGCACGGGGAGCCCCTGGCATGGGAAAGGGGAGAAAGAAGAGGGGAGGGAAGCTGGGGGTGCAAGATAAGCTGGGACGTGGCCAAGAGAGGGGTGCAAGTCAGAGCCTGCATCCCCTCTTAGCTCCGATGCCGCATTACGGCCGGGAGCAACAAGCTGCGTTCGCCAAGCACGGGGACGGACACAAACCAACGCTCCCGGAGGGGGAAGGCAGCCGGACCCCGACCCGCGGGATGTCCCCCGGCAGCAGGCTCGGCAGCGCTCGCCAGCCCCGCTCGCTCACCCCCCGGTGAAGATCTTCTCCACGTAATGCCGCATGAACTCCCGGCGCGCGGCCATCGCCTCGTCCCGGGCCGACTCGGTGCTCTGGCTGGAGGAGAAGGACTCGTTGGAGGACGAGCGGTGGTAGCCGCCCCAGTGTTTTTTTTTCCGAGGGCCCTCCATGGCTCTCCCAAGGGATGTGGTGGTGTTGGGGGCACCCGCTCCTCGTCCTTCTGTCCCTCACTGGGGCGCCGAGGCCATCGCCGGCAGGGTGCCTGGGAGGACCGTCTGGCTAAGGCAGGCAGGTCCTTCTGCGGGGGGACGGGTTACCGCAGGACATCTGAAAGACAGGAGGAGGACCAGAATGAGGAGAGGACCCCGAGGAACCACCACCATGAACCTCAGGCAAGCAGACCACAGGCCACTGCCTGCGATGTCCCCAGAATGCCCGTCAGCAGTGGGGAGGGACAGGACAGGGACACACCGGGCAGAGCTGGCTGCTCCCCATCAGCCACACCAATAAGCAAACCCCTGCAGTGCTCCTCTGCTTTCTGCACCGTTCAAGCGGGTTTTTCAACCTTTAGCCCAGAAAAGGGAGGATATGAGCCCAAGCTCCGTACGCCACATTTGGGACGTGACATCTCGCAGCCTCCCCAGGGCAGAGCAGAGGGGCAGGAGAACCTCCCTCGCCCTGCTGCCCACACTCCTCCTCATGCACCCCAGGATCC